GCTTTGCTGAGAAGTGTTCCAGACACACTGTGGCCTATGGGCTAAAGATGGATGCCCCAACGTTAAAGAGGAACTTCGGGTGACTGTCCAGGCAGTAGGATATCTCTGTCAATCCTAGTGTTTATATATTATCCTTCTGTGGTCTTTGATAGAGTTGAAGACAGATAGCTATAATTATAGTTTTCCTTAGTTATGATAAGAGATAAGCTACATATAGAACTTTGGACTCACAAGAATGAGATAGATGATATTTTCTTTAAATCTTGCTAAAATATTGTAACTATGTTCTTACTTGATAACTGTTCTGTTATATACAATTTGACTATATTAAAGTTAAGACCTTTCTTTTTGTTTAAACAGAAAAGAGGAGATGTTGGGGAAGTCTTATGTCAATAAAGCACTGTCTGGCCTATAGGGAATCTAGATGGGAGGGACTAGGAGTCCAGGAGAACTCTGGGAAGGAGAAACACAAGAGAGTCGAGATGTAACGCCATTGGGGTAGGAAGCCCGGAAACCTCTCCGGTAAGAGACATACTTAGATTAACAATTATGGGGTAATTACTTAAGTCAGAGCTAGCCAGTAAGAAACAAGCAAGGCCAACAGCTTCATAATTAATATAGCCTCCTGTGTGTTTATTTGGGACTGATGCGGGTCTAGAAGCAGGCTGGCAGAAAGGCTTCTCTCAAGGAAAAGACTTCTCTTAACAATCCTTTCTGCATCTCTTGAATGTTTCTTGTCATTTTATTTGCTATCAGTTGCATTTCTGATAAAAACTGATATGTATATATATATACATATATATGTATACATATTCTCCTTAATTGATTACATATTTTTACAATTAAAACAGCAAAATTAATTTTATCACACAGTGTCCAACAAGGAATCATTAAAAATCCAGAACAATTGTTTCTTGGAGCTTTATCTCCTTTTACTTTCACACACACAAGCTAGCCTTGCTTTCTTTATTCTCTCCCCACCCCAGATAAAAAGTCTCTGCCAAATGTATTTTCCAAAGACCTCAGATCCCATCATGGAAGGATTTTGAGTCATTCCTCTTAGGCTTAAATAAAGTTTGAAATAAAATCTTACAGTGGCTTGAGGGTCTCTTGGCCTCCCTACAATTCCCATCGATGTCACTTCATCACCTCCTGGTGACTTGCTGTGATAGCTCTCAGGTGACAGCTGTTCTAGTCCACCCAAAGGGGGAAAGTTTTTACTCCTGAAATGTTATATAGTAAAACATTAGCCACGTTTGTACACACAGTAACCTCTTAGCATGTATCTCATAGAAACACTAGCAGAAGGGCTGGGGGTATAGTCAAGTGGTGGAGCCCCTGCTGAGGATGGGGAAGGCCCTGAGTTCAAGCCCCAGAAGAACCAAATTAAACACTGGCAGATAGAGATGCTGTGCAGAGATGCTTCTATGAACCCCCATTTTTCTTGAAAGCTTCTATTTGTGGTAACTGAGGCTGGTTTTTTTTTTTTTGCCAAAGTCAAGCCAAAGCATAGAAAACCAAAAACCAAAAGCCCAAGACAGCCTCACTTTATTAAAAATAAAACAAAAAATAATAAAACACCTTTTATTCCAAAATTAAAGCATACTAGAGATACGCTGCAGATTACCAGTTCCAGAAATTGGTGGTTGAACTAGAAATGGAAACTGATTGACAAATCTTTAAGTCACAGGCGGGTCAGCAGATGAATATCCCCAGGCAGAGACATAGGCAGAGTTTGAACTGAAAAGTCATGTTGAGTAGAGATGGGAGAGGTGCTTGGGGCAGGCTGAAGAGGAGGGAGAAAGAGAAGGGTGGAGTAGGTTCGTGGAAAGAGGTAGATGTGAAAAAACCACAGAAGCCAGCAGGGAGAGGTAGCACATGGTCATCTTCCAGTCTTCAAATCCCCAAAGCACCGCTTTGATTTCAACTCCGTGCTGTCCCCACAAACTCGGACCTCTCCATCCATGAACTAGAGAAGAGGTCTGCTCTTGCATGGGGGGGGGGCTGTTTTCCTTTTCTCCACTATCCAAGCAGCAGGGAGGTCTTCTGTGTTCTCTCCGTTCATGGGATCAAGTTTCTAACCTCAGAAATCTAAAAGAAGAAAAAGCCAAGGCTTAACATTTGAGCTACAGACACAAGGCGGAGGCAGTCATTCAGAGAACAAAGCAGTTTGAAGGATTCCAACATCCCTAGACCCCAGAGGGAAGATGAAATTCCGAAAGAATAAGATTGTAAAGCCCAGGCTAAGCCAAGACACTGATACATTTGTCTCTCTTTTACCCAGGAGTGAGTGAATCAAGATGGGTTTTTTCTTTTTTTCCATCAGAGGGAAATCGGGACTTGGAGGAAACAAGAACTCCATTTGTTGAAAAATTTGAATTTAAAATTAGCTTAAACAGCAAAAATTGTATTTTTTATTTACTTGAGTTTATAGTCTCTGAAAATTGTACCTAGAAAACATTGCAATTTCAGGCAGAAAATGTTACAAAAAATAATCCATTTCCTCCTCCAGTGCATAGACTTGATATCATGGGGTATGCATGCTTGCTGAAAGCTCTTCAGAAGTCTCCATCAACCTTAGATTAGAACAATAACTGACTTTTGCTGAGCTAAGCATTTTAACAAATCATCTCATTTCACTTTATCCATAGTAAGAAATTTGTAAGCATTCCCATTTTGTAGAGGAGGAAACTGAGGCCTAATAATTTTACACACACACACACACACACACACACACACACACACACACACACAGAGAGAGAGAGAGAGAGAGAGAGAGAGAGAGAGAGAGAGAGAGAGAGAGAGAGAGAGAGAGAGAGAGAGAGAGAGTGTCTCATGTATCCCAGGCTGGCCTTGAACTTGTTATGTAGCTAAGAATAACTGTGGATGTCTGATCCCCTGCCTCCATTTTCTGAGTGTGGAGTTTACAGGTGTGTACCACCACCACAGCTGGTTTGTATGGTTGTGGTGTTCTGGATAAGAATGTTCCTCCTAGGCTCATAGATTTGAATGCTTGGTCACCAGGGAGTGGCACTACTATATGTGGCCTTGTTGGAGGAAGTGTGTCACTGGGGGGTGGGCTTTGAGGTTTGGAAAGTCCAAGCAAGGTCCAGTGTCTTTTCCTACAGCCTGTGGATCTGAATGTAGAACTCTCAGTTGCCATGTCTGCTTTTGTGCTGCCATGCTCCCTGCCATTAGGATAATGGACTAAACCTCCGAAACTGTAAGCCAGCCCCAATTAAATGCTTTCCTTTACAAGATTTGGAATGGTCATGGTGTCTCTTCACAGCAATAGAATACTAACTAAGACAGAAGTACAGGTATTGAAAAAAAAAGCATGGTGTAAGCTAAGTAAACACTACCAACTGAACTGCATCCTCAGGCCTTGAAGTTTAGTAATCTCAATGCTTGTGCTTTCAAAGCTAGTGCACCAAGTTCTGTCAAAATTCTGAGCTCGTAGCACTCCCCGAGCAGGATTATTGCGCCCTGTGTGGGGTAGTGCTATCCAGACCACGGTTCTCATTTGTGAGGCACTTCAGCATGTGGCAAGATCAGGAGCTTTGGAAGCAAGATTGGGTTTAAATCCATCTGTCTCCTTAAACATGAGAACTTTGTTTCTTTTGAAAAGGTCCTACTGTGTAGCATGGGCTCTCATAGCTCCCACTGTATAGACAAGGCTGGCCTTGATCAAATGTCACTTCTGCTTCTGACTCCTGAAATGCTGGTATCAGAGGAGTGCACACCATTACTGGCTTAGGAACTTGGGAAAGTCAGACACTTTGAGCTCTTCTTCTTCTTCTTTTTTTTTTTTTTTTTTTTTTTTACGAGACAGGGTTTCTCTGTATTGTTTTGGAGGCTGTCGGTCCAGCCCAGCCTCGAACTCACAGAGATCCGCCTGCCTCTGCCTCCCGAGTGCTGGGATTAAAGGCGTGCGCCACCACCGCCCGGCTGACACTTTGAGCTCTTCTAAAAATGGTCTGAGAATGAAACAACTTTGCCTATAAGCTGCACACAGTAGGCACACATTTGGTGGGAGTTGAATGGACTGAATAGTTTTTGGACCTCCCTGTTCATAAGTTCAATTCACACAGCTGCTAAACGGACAGTGTGATGGGCGTGGTCTGTGATAGGTGTTAAATCCTGTGGCTGGGACCATTAGGAATGGGATTAGTGTCCTCATGTTTATATCAATTTGTTCTACTTATATTGTTCTAACCATAATTTCTTTTAAATTTAGAAGAGACCCCCTCCCCCAGCCCTGCCACTCTGTTAAGTCATGGGTGAAGGGCACTGAGCATGGCCCAGAAAACGAATTCTCATTAGGCAAGAATCTACTGATGTTTTGATCTGGGACTTTCTAGAAACTGGAGGGAATAGTTTTTATTGCCTCTATTAAACTTTGCTAAGAGACAAAGATGAGGTCTCTTATGTTGCCAGTGTCTCACTCAGAGGAGACACTGAGTGCTTGCTTGGATAGATGAGTACATTAAAACAAAACCAAACCACCCATCCTCAAACACTAATGACAGTTCCCCAGAAAACAACATTTATTCTATAAAATACAGATTTTTGTTTTAAACCGAAGGAAATATTTTTGAAAATACCCTTTTAACTGAATTAGGAGAAAACAAAGATATTTAAACCACTTGTTGCCTTTTGGTTCCTGCCCATTTGTATTTAGAAAATATGCCCATACAAAAGCTATCCATGTGGTAACCCAGTAGGCAATTAAGCCCAGTGCTGTGAAGTTACTTCTCATTCATGTGGAATGCTCCAAGCCAGGATCAGTTCTCTGGGCCCTGTATTTTTCCATTCTTCAATTGCTGTCTTGTTACATTTACTTAATTAGGGATTGGCTACTTATCAGGTCCCCGAAGAATCCTTTTTTGCTGTTTTCTGTTTTCTGAAGTTTAAGGAGGGAGGCGTTCTCATTTGTATTTTTCAGATGCCTCTGACGGCTCATTCATATTCATGAGCCCCCAGCTGGGCTGTCTCTGGGTGATTTGTTCCTAACTGGTTGGTTATTCCTTCAGACCCTTTGCATCTCAGTATCTACTTCCCAAACCCATAGGAACATGGGCAGCAGGTGAAGTCTCCATCACTGGAGGTAAGACAGGAATGGTACTTGCTTTCAAATATTAGCCATTATTTTTCTCAGTGTCTTTCTAAATATTTCACCTGTAACTATTGAATTTTCTTTTCTCGAGACAGGAGTGCTTCTATCTAGGCCCATTGACATTTCCATGGAAACACAGTTCTAGCAGGAAACCTGCTAAGCCAACTTAGCAAGAGGCCTTGGCTCTAGCCTTTGATCACCTGGATATCAGGTTGCAGCCCCACCCTTTAAATGGTTGAAGTCTCATTATCCTGAACTGTGCATCTGGAATCTGATTATGTCTGTTTGCCCAGAATCATCCTTACTCCCGCTGTTGAGTCTTAGTATTTTTCCATCCCCTGACCCCTTCCTGCTCCTTGGCTATGAGTTTCCACTTGAGCACTCTGTATTTGGAGTGGAGCCCAATCTCTTTCCTTCACTTCAGCATCTCATTGTAGTCACCTGTGAACCTGCTGCAGTGGTCCTCAGTAAAGCCCATCTTCCTCTACTCTCTTGGGAGTGTCAAATCCTTCCCTAAGGGCTGGGAGAAGGCCCCTACCTCCCTTGATCTTATGCTTATGATTTGTGCTTGTGATTTGTTTCCTGGACTTCAGCAGTGGTATTGAGGAAGATGGCCGGAATTGACAGTTTCTCCAGTAAGTTCAAACTTCGTCAAACAAGCGTGAAATAAGGCAAGGGTTTTGACAAATACTCTGTACTATGGATTCAATTCGAGTATACCCAATCCCTGAAATTCATTCTTACTCCTTAAGGTGGTATTTTTGGATCTAGGGACTGATCATGAGGATTTAGACACTGATAAATAGAACTCCAGAGGTTTGACTGTCCTCTTCCGTCATTCGAGAAGAAGACAGGACTGTATAAGGGAGCAATCTTTCACAATATTAGATCTACCAACTGTATAAATGGACAACATGACTTAACTTGACCCACTCAAGTTGTATATTCACTTTTGAACGAGGAGCTGTGACAACATCAAGAGTTCATCTCTAAGTGACCTTTTCAACTAGGAATTTCCTCTCATGGGTCCGAGCTGCTTCACCCCCTCCTTCCTAACAGTTTATTAGTGCTTTCCTCACAATTGTCTGGCTTACAATAAGGGGCGTGTGCATTTTCATTGCTTAGCATCTGATCACATCACAGGAGGCAGGCATCCATGTTCTTCATGATGTGCTCCTGGTGTCTGATTTGGAACTCTGGACACATGGTCTTAAAAATGCGGCATCGCAAGGGCATGGAAGAGGGACCCACATTCTGTCGTCGCACTGCAGAGCTGACAGGTTCAGGTTCCTGCTAGAACTTGTGATGGGTGATCTCAGAAGAATGAGCAGGTAGCAGTTCAAGTGAGAGGAGTGTGCATCCTAAAGTCTGTCTTAAATCCTTCAGCAACAATCAGTAGCTTGAGGTTCAGTTTTGTCATGCATATGTTAGAGGTGGTGATGGTGGTGGTGAAGATGAGTGACACTTAACTCATGGCATCATTCTAAACTCTAATTGAGGAAGTAACTGGAATACATGAGACATTTAAAACATACAAGCTATTTTTTTAAAGAATTACTTACCTACTTACTTTATGTATATGTATGCTTGTCTGTGTGAATTATGTGAACCACATGTGTGAAGGAACCTTGGAAGAAGGTGTTGGGCTCCTCTGGAACTGAAATTCCAGTCGTATGTGAATCACAGTGTGGCTGCTGGGCACTGGACTCTGGTCCTCTGCAAAAGCAGCAAGGGCTTTTAGCTGCTGAACCATTTCTCTCGCCCTAAGCTGTTCTTCGTCTTATTGTTAATACCATATCTACATTCAAAATAGATATAAAAACACTAATGTGGCTTTGCCAAGAAACAAGTTTAGATTAGGAAATTATATAACTATATTATGTGCTTATAGAATATGTATTATACAATCTCTTAACTGTAAGAGATTCTGATTTTTGAAAACATATTTTAGGGTCACATTTTTGTGTGGAGGAAGGTCTCTCTTCTTTCTTTTCTTCTTTGTATTTCTTCAATTGGGTACTGTGAATGAAGTGTTCATAGACATTATGGGGATTGTACTTTTTAAAATATAAATCTATTCTTAGAAAAGCATTCTGCTCTTCTATTCACTCACGAAATTAAAAAGTAAGTTGGTTTGATTCTATGCATCCATTAAATGGATGAGATGACCAGTGCTCTTTTGCCTTTGCCCTGTAGGTCTATTTCAGTCTTGTCTCATGTATATACATTGATCTTTGTTGGGTGGAAGGGTGGAGGGACCAAGATGGGGGGGACCTGGAGACCCCTAAGCAGTGTGCTGTTTTCTGAGGCACTGATTGATGTTTTCCTGGGAAGCTCTTGAGAAAAGTTTAGTCTTATGTGGCTGTTTGTGTTAACTTCTGTGCTAGATATCTGATCCTTCTCTGGACCCAATTTTGCCTAGAGAGCCTAGTGATCTTAAAGTGTATCTGCCTCAGAAAGGTCCATAGAACTGACCAGTACACACACACACACACACACACACACACACACACACACACACACACACGTTATACACTCGCACACTGTTCCTGGTAGGGTTGTAAAAAAGACTAAAACTCACGGGTAGCATCACTTAGTGGGCTGTTTGAGGGGTGCACCATCAGGCATGTCTTTGTGCAAATTTCAGTTTGCTATCAGAGGAAGCAGTAAAGCTAAGCAGAGCCACATGGAATTATTTGAAGACATTTTTTTGGGTTTGCTACAGGTTTTGGGCTAGCTGTGCTATAATGAGACACAAGTTAAAGCAGGAAAGCATTTGGAATTCAGTAGAGTTTAACAACAAAAAAGATAATAGCAGGATGTGGTGGTGTGCCAGTGGATTCCTAGGAACTTGGGAGGCGAAGGCAGCAAGATACTTGAGTTTATGAATTTAAGACCAGATTGGGCAACCTAGAAAGATCTCATGTCAAACCAACAGTTGCAAAACCCCAAGAACCTCAGGATTCTTCAAAACAGGGAGAAAGACAGAAACAAAAAAGAGCAGTGACCTGGTGGAATGAGACTTTGGCACTGCTCAGGGTGGGTGTCGGGGTGGGAGGTAACTTGTAGGGAAAGTGCCGGGAGTCTAGGACAGAGGGCATGGCGCTGACTCTCACACCCTTCTCCCCTCTTTCACACGCTCCAGGGACTGGAGCCGAGCTCAGAACAACGGAGGGATCTGGAAAGCTCTGAGTGAGGGCTCAGTGGGGGTTTAATGGAAAGAAAATTGACCTGCCAGTTTCACTCGCATTTTAGCTGCCCCGAGCATTAGAAATTTTCTGTCCATATTAAGGTGACATCACTTCTGTGTTCTTTCTATTCACCACTCCAGGTCAGCCTTCTGATGTGATACAGAACAAAACATATCCTTCTAAATGACAACCCTTCTGACACTGAAACATCCAGATTACATTTCCACTCTTGCTGTGAACCAAGCCTTTAATTTTACTCATCTAATTAAATGTTTCTAGTGTTGGCCAGCCAGTGGTGGCACACACCTTTAATCCCAGTGCTCGGGAGGCAGAGGCAGGTGGATCTCTGTGAGTTTGAGGTCAGCCTGGTCTACACAGCACGTTGCAGGACAGCCAGGACTACACAGAGAAACCCTGCCTTGAAAAGCCACACCCAGAAGCTTGTGGCTTCTGTGGGCAGTAGAGCTACTCAAGGAACCTTTTGAAATGTTGGACTATACATAAGACTTCAGCATAGAGTGCAGCTTCTGAAAGTGGAGAATTTCCCTTGTCCTGACTGCTGTCGCTCTTTTAATAGATAAGATGTTTCCAGTAGTTTCTAGTAGTCTCATCTCACCATAAACTCAACCTGAACTTTTACCTTAAAAAATCAAAACAAAACAGAAAACCAAACTCCTAAGTCTCCCCCCCAAACCCCACAGACGAACAAACAAGCAAATAAACAAAAAGGAAACAGAACTGAAAACAAACAAAATCTCCCAGGTGTAGGGGCTTGGGAGATGGCTCAGTGGTAAAGAGCTTAATGTGTGTTGGTATCCCCTGAATCTTGTAAAAAGCTGAGTATGGAGCGGCATGCCTGGAATCTCAGTGCCAGAGAATCAGCCCTCTGGTTAGTCAGTTTAACTGAATGAGGGAGCTCCAGGTTCAGAGAGGTTGAGGAAGACAGACACAGACACAAACACATGCATGCACCCCCACACCTCCCATACACCCCTCTTGCAGGCAGGTATCATTGAATATCAAAGGGCCTGTGGCTGGGTTGGTGTTTACATTTCTCCTTTGGTAGCCTGCACAGTACCTTCCTTTACCAAAGATGCTGGAACATTCATGGAGAGCAGCCCAAAGTTTTGGCAACAGCCTGGGTTAACTTGGGGTTCCCGTGGGACCCTTTTGCCCAACAACTCATTTAGATGTAACCCAATCCTAGTACTCCAGTTGGTGTTCTGCCTCCCCCATTATTTGGCAATTTCATTTAGATCATCTTCATATATGTAAAAATTTTAGGGAGAATCTACTGTGTTAGGTTTCCATGCTACCCCTCAAATGGCCCTTAAATTTGGCTATCTCTCTCCATATTCCCTCCCTTGTCCCCTCTTCCCTCTATCCCCCTACTTGATCCTCCAATTCCATGCTGCCATCCGTCCTCAGCTATTCTATTTCCCTTTCCTAGGGCAATCTATCTGTCCCTTACCCTAGCCTAGTCCCAAGGTTGGTGGGATACTGCAGGGAACAGAAACTCCTGTTCTCCTGTATCTTTTATCCAGCACGGCAGATTCTCAGCCATATTCAAATCCTTCTGTCTCTTATCACTGGGAGTTCATTGCTGGACCAAGGCTGTCTTACTTTATCCTTAAAGTTGGTCTCTTTGGGTTAGGAAATGCTGCCTTCATTCATACATAGGTATAGATTTATTGCTCCTTTCTTCAAACATTACTCTTTGAAGCTTGCTCAGAAAAGTCTGAATCTTAGCTGTGGATCTTACATTTGGCAAACATAAGTAAGGAAAACCCAAAAGAAAAC